TTTGGAGCAAGTAGCTGTCTCATGGAGAAATGTCTCCACCAGTAGTTCTTCTGATCTTACACCATCTTCTGAGATGCAGCATATGTACTCTCCCAAAGTGCAATGTCATATGGAGTATTAGATGGTAGAAGTTCTCCACAGAGTGTTAGTTGCTTCTTAATACTTTCTTCTTTAAAAAAAAAACCACCAACTATTCAACACAGATCTCTGAAGTGTGTCATTTACAAACTATCTTCAGAGTTAACGTTCATATTACCTCCCTCTAAACCTCAAAATAAGTGAGTTGAAAGATGTATCTCTTCCCCTTGCCCTTACACAAAACCCAAGGATAACTTAGGGCTAAAGGTGTCACTGCTGGGGCACTGTGAGCTCTCTGCTCCTGCAAGGGCTCTGGGTATTTCAAAATGTGTGATGTAAATAATGACACCACTGTTTGTATTGTTATTTTTCAGCTGGAAGCTTTGGCAGTGGACAGAGGCCTTTCCTTATCCTCAGTTTTACTCAGAAAAAATTTAGAGGCATGTTTGTCTGTGCAAGGGGGTAATAAACCTCCTGTACATAGTGCTGCTCTCCCTCTAAACAGCAGCGGTTCTTCCAGCCCGAGGCAGGAGCTCTGACCTGTTTTTCCTCAAGACCAGAGGCAGCCAAGGAAGGCACGGTTGCAGAGCAGGATGCCCAGGGGAGCAGTGCTCCGGTGCTAGCAGCTAGTTCAGAGCTAGTTTAGGTACCTCTGCTCTGAGGCACATACATCTCCCTTACCTATGCTGGGCAGCAGGACCACAAGTAATTAAGGGCATTAGAAAACATTTAGAAAGTGTTCTGCTGAGGAATGGACTGCTAAGAGACATTCATGTCAGGGGAAGAGTAACACGTACTTGTAACGACGCTTAATGAAAGAGGGGCTAACTTGTATTTTTACCCACTTCAAAAATTACACACTAAGTTTAAAGATGGCTATACAACTTTGTTTAGTTTTTTCAGCTTGATGTAAGATTTCTACTTCATTATTTTTTATCACTTCCTATGAGAAATGCTTCTAATTAATTCTTCCACCTTAAATACAAAGAGAATGGTATGGGATATAGTGTCTGCTACCAGCACAAGACTCAGACACAGTCACCAAAGCTGTAAATTCTGTTTTGTGTTATTAGAAATAGTACCTATATTCCAAGTGGAGCTTATATCCCGATAGGCACCTAAGCACTGCACAGTCGCTCGCTCACTCCCCCCCAGTGGGTTGGGGGCAAAAATTGGAAAGGTAAAAGAAAGAAAACTCATGGATTGAGATAAAGACAGTTTAATAAGTCAAACAAACAAACAAATAACCCCACCCCCCAAAAAAACCCCAAGTGAGACAAAAAACCCCAGTTGCTCACCACCAGCCAACCGATAACCAGCCAGTTCCTGAGCAATAGCGGCCCCGGCAAACTCCCCCCTGCCCCAATTTTATTGCTGAGCATGACATCATATGGCATGGAATATCCCTTTGGCCAGTTGGGTCAGCTGTCCCAGCTGTGTCCCCTCCCAACTCCTTGTGCACCCCCAGCCTACTCGCTGGTGGGGTGGGGTGAGAAGCAGAAAAGGCCTTGACTCTGGGTAAGCACTGCTCCGCAGTGACTAAAACATCCCTGTGTTATCAACACTGTTTCCAGCACAAATCCAAAACATCGCCCCATGCTAGCTACTATGGAGAAAATTAACTATGGCAGCCAAACCCAGTACAACCTTCACAACAGGGAGAAATACCAGGGCAATATGTCATCCTCATCAAAAGAGGAAACCTTGCACAGAAAACAGGGTTGCAAGGAACCGATCCTTCTCCGATACATGGCATTAGCTCCTTTCGTATCCATAGTGGTTTTATTGCTGATTTTCACCCTAACTGCTTACGTTGTCACTCAAAGCTGCCACCTCACCCAGTGAGGTTACAGATCCGTTCAGAACCGCTCCAGCCTCAGCAGATAGCACTGAATTTCCACGCTCCCTTCCTTCCTTTTCCTCTTCCCTTTTTATTCTTTTAAGGGTATCTGCACATTAATGAGCGCTAGGAGTAAGGGTTTTTTTCAGAAGATCTTATGGTGACGAAGAAAATAAATTCCTCCAGCACAACGTCTGGTTTCTTCCACCAATGCTCTTCCTTCCCCTTTCCAGGAGCCCCATCAAGGCTGTCCACGAGACCAAGGACAACTTTTCACATTGATATGAAATAAATCCAAAGTACATGTTTGTTTCTACAGGAAGCAAGACTAAAAGCCATGTTTCTTGCTTAAATTAAGTGATTGGCATAATATTTTACTTACATCAACAGAAAGCATACATCACAAAAGGTTAAATGTGAACATTCAACATAATGACAAGTATTCAACGGAAAACCAGTTACCTGTCACTCATGAATGTGAATTAAACCTTTCACAGAAATAACACTTAAAAAAAAAATCAAGAGGCTCCTTAGTTCATGAGTAAAATTTAATCAATTAAAAAAAAAAAGTCAGATTAAGCTAAGGACAACCTAACAAACTTTTGAAAGATCTTACTGACCTATTAGCTAATCTAAAAAAGCCAAGAATATTGGCTGACAGGTCGGGCTCAAAGAGTTGCAGTAAATGGGATTACATCAGGTTGGCGGCCAGTCACCAGTGGGGTTCCCCAGATCTCAATTTTAGGGCCAGTGCTCTTTTATAAATGTTTTTATAAGTTATATGGACACAGGAGTCAAATATACATTAAGTAAGTTTGCCGACGATACTAAACTAGGAGGAGCTGTGGACTCTCTCGAGGGAGTCATGTGGTTTAGTTTTAGGCAGTCCTGCGAGGAGCAGGACTCAATGAGTTGGACTCAATGATCCTTATGGGTCCCTTCCAACTCAAAATATTCTGTGATTCTATGATTGTAAGCTTAGGTCTTTACAGAAAAACACTTGAAAAATCAGGTACTTTTATCATAGTAAATTTAGTCAGGCTTCTAACAAAGGAGACTCCTAATAAACTGTACAGTAATAATGGACATTTTTAATCAAAAATATATTAAACATTATTTCAGTACTTTTTCATTAGCATTTCTAACCCGAAGCAGAAACTGTGATGTAACACCCTGAAGGCTCTCGGTCCTGTGGGCAAGTAGTGAAACGCTGCAGTTACGCTTCTGCCACAGAGAAGACTTTGCCTGTGATTTCATGACTGATCTCGGTAAGGCAGGTTGTTGCCAGAAGGGGTGGGTCAGGTCTGGCTACTGTGCCACAACAGGTTGCCTCTCTCTCTTCCCCTCTCTCCCTCCCCAGATTAGCATCCTGTAGGATCTGTGAGCTGATTCCCACTCACTGTGCAGCCCACACAATCCCAGGTGCCAACAAGGTAAGTTGCAGGTCATCTCCTCTGAGCAATGCGAACTCTTAGAAACCAACAAAAGCCAACTGCAAAACCACACCCTACTGACATTAAAACTAATCAGGCATCTCAGGAACCTGATGTAATACATATTTAATATACCATATCAAGATTTGCATGTGTAAGATGCTGTGATACATACAGTACCTTGCACATGCAAAATCACTGCTATTTCATTTACTTTTCTGCAAACAATGAAATCTGAGAAGCTACCTTGAAAAGGGGGCTGAATTCAATTACTTTTTCAGTTAAACACTGTGCACTTTGGAAATGGTGAGCTTTAGTCATAACTCATTTTACAGTTTCACATGTTTTTAAATGCAAATGTATACAAAATAATCGTGCTTATACTTACCTCTTTGTGATCATGACTCAAATTATTCCTTTCCTAAAACGTTCATAAAAAACCAGTACCTTATTAAATGTAAAGCTGTACACAATCCAATAGTCAGGATACTGCCAATGAGTCCTAAATATTTTTCATCTCTGAAAAGTAATCATGTAGCACTGGCAGCCTCTTGACTCTCCTCAGCCACTGTTCCCCAACTACAAGTCGCTCTATCAGGTCAGAAGTGGCTCCAGACATTACACAGACTCACCGAGGTTTGAAATGATGACGAATTCAGGGCCTTAGGGTTCACCTTCACATTACATTTAATCCAAAGCAACCTGGAGTTACTAAAGAGATGGTCCTGCTCGCTTGCCTTGCCTCACCTTGCCACCCCAAATCCCTGTGCCTTCTTGATGTCGGAAGTAAAGATTACACAGGCTCCTGACTGTTAAAACTAATGCATGAAAAGCGGTGAGAAGGTGTAAGGGGGGAGGGGGAGAGAGTAGAAGGAACCTTTCCATGCTCAGTGGCTGCCCGCAGTTACACTCTGTAAGGTGTAGTCAAAAACATAATGAAGGAAATGTTTACTTGCAAATATTGACAAAAAATTGAGTTCATCCTACATAATACTGCTTACTAGTAATGACTCACAATATGGAAAACACCAAAATTTAAAAGGCATTTGCAGAACCTGCAAGTAGAGCAAAAATACAGCACTTCTTATCTCAACCAGTTAGAGTTGCTCTGGCAGTCGGAGACTAGAGATAACCCCTAGTGTAATTTTACAGAACGAATCTGAAGTTTCAAATTAAACTATAATAAATAATTTAAATCATAGTTGCAAACAATTTTGCAAGTCTTCCCTTCCTATAGTATATATGAAAACAAGACATATTTCTGCATAAGTTGAGGAATGAAGAGCTGCTTCTTATTATTTTAATAAAAAAGTGTTTGAAGTTACACTTATAAACATCAAAACATAAGTGTACATCCATCGGACTGAACATTTTTTCCTAGGTAACTGTGTAAAGGTTTCAAAAATAGTTTGTCACTTTACAGCATTTTTGAAAAGAACATCCTTTCAAAGGAATATATGTCAACAAGTACAGGTAGAAGAATACAATTGTGGAGACCACAGTGAACAAGACACAGCCACCTGAGCTACTATGAAGGAGCGCAGGCCTTGGGTTCAGATCTCCAACAAGATCTCCTCTTTCCCCGCAAAAAGCAGATTTATGTATTATGGCATACACAATGCAGAGAATCTAAAAGCATATTTTTGTCCTTAGTATGAGCCCTCTTTGAAGGATTCTGATAGATCTTGATTGGCAGCATCGTATTGAGCAATGAAATGTTTCAGTTCTTCAATGCATCGCTCACCTATTTCATGCAAATTTTGCCTCAGGGCAAACTGAATGGACTTCTCTAATGATGGATCTTTATCAATTAGCATCTTCACTACCATGCCAAAGGTTTCACAGTCTTGTCTGTAGACCTAGAAACAACACATTTTAGAAAACGATTAAATACAAGACTCTCTACATTAGCACACCAACAGCCCTCATTGAATTAGGTGCTACTGCAGATCCAAACCAAACATAGAATATTGGATTTAACGCAAATTTCACCTGTAAGACATATTTGCCTTTTCCTCTCTTCTGACCTGCACTAACACAAATGTAACTAGTTTAGAACTATCTGGATACAAGAAGTAACTCTTATTGAAAGAAATGCCTTAAAAAGAGAGATTAAGTTCCTCTTGCAGCAATATTTAATAAATAATGGCAAAGAAAAGTGCAAATGCTAAACCAGATTTTCATTGCAAATATATGTAAAATTAATTTAACTGTGGCACGTCTAGCAATCTCAATCTTTATACAAAGTAACAATAACTTAGTTTGTAATCTTTCCTAATACTTTAAATAGAAGCTACGTTTAAATAATTTCACCAAATTATGTTTGTTTGTTGGATATCTGTTTCTTGTAGAAGTCTTTCACAAATATGACTTTAATCAGTTTAACTGCATTGGTGATTCAACCACTAAGGATAAGAGAAATCTTGGCAGCAGTTTACATGAACCCATCTGATCTTGTACTGCAGGGAATGAAGAGTTTGCAAGTCAGTTATGTACCACAGTTGAGGAAAAGTAATTTCTCATTATCACTGCAACTGTTTTTCAAACAAACATCTGACTATGCTGTTAGGTAGTTTTCAAAGCGAGTCAGTGGCCTTTCATTTTTTTTTTTTTTTTCCAAATTCCAGCTAAGGTTATTAATCTAAACACGCACCAAAAAAGGAACTTGTCAAATTCTTCCAACTGCCAGATGCAGTTCATTTTCACACCTCTTTGGCCAATTTCCGTTTAGAAAATGTATTGGCTTTTTGAATGAAGATAAATGGTTTTTTATCTCTCTACATTTTTTAGGAGGAAAAAAACCTACAATGCTGATATTCCTCAAAGTATGATTATCTTTTAGTACTGTGTGCTCATGTTAGAACTTGGTTTTTTTACAGATATGTGTGACCCTTTCCTCCCACATTTATCTATTATTGTGGACACAAATGATACAACTGTATATAAGCAATTCCCCATTAGTAAAAAAGAAAAAAACCCAAACAAACAAAAAAAACCCCACAACCAAACACCACCACACTGTTTTATTCATAAGGACCAGTCCAAGGGCAGCTTAAGCGTATTCATGTCAGAGGAGCAGGGGAAAAAAAAAAAAACCAAACACCATTCTGCACACAAATTAAACTATTCTCAGAAACACAGTGATTTAACATGATACCTTTAATAAAGACAGTTCTCAAATGTTTGACAGTATATTCTATAATAATAGTTTTAAATGAGACCCACTTTTAAACACTGGTTGGCAAATAAAAGAAAACCTTTTGGAAGAAACTAATTTTCAATAGAGATTAAGAAGTCAAAAAGAAGAGTGCAGCCCAAACCAAAATGGAGCTAAACATCTTAAGTGTGGAAACAGTGTGCTCATGGCATTTTTTCTGAGAGGGGGTTTGTTTCCTGCTTTGTATAGTTAGTTCTTTGGTAGTAAAATATCAGCAAGAAACACAGACTCTCAGAGTTCATGTTCCACAGCAAGTGAAACAGTACTTGCTAAGAGAACTTCAAACAGGGCAAATTTGGGTTTCTTTTTTTCTGACTCTTTCCAAGGAAAAAGCTCAGGAAGAATTGCTGTATCTGATTAGCCATATGACAGACAGATGGTATTTCACTTTGGATAACTCGTGCCTTTCAAGTACTTGCAGCATGCTTGCTAGCACCTTCACAGAATTATTTCTGAGAGTTTTTTTTCTCCCCAGAGCCATTATGTTTTGGGGGAAATAGTTCAAAACTTTTTTTTCCTTATTGCATGTCTATTTGTCCTATTTTATCACCTTTGAAGTGGTCAGACCAAGGATGTGTGAATGATCTTGCACAGGTAAACGAACCTGGTAACTGTCAGTCTTCAGAGGACGCTGTGCAACACCGGCACGACTGAAACCCTCACACTAATAGAGAACACAGACACATCGCCCCATCTTCTGCACAGGAAGGCACCCAAAGCTACAACTGAAGGAAATGCTCTACTTCTAATTGGTCTTCAAATTAATGGCAAATAGCGCTATCTGCTATTTCTCTCACACACCACAGAGAGCTAACCCAGATGAAATTCTCTGACCCTTAGCGTATAAATATTAGCTCAATCTAAGCACATTTTTCTTGAAAACTTTCACAAAAGACGACTTGGAGGAGAATCAAGAGAGCCATCATTGCCGCTGTGTCTGGAGTCAGAAGTCACTTTGCTGTCACCACAATCTGGAAACTAAACACCTTCATACACGAGATGAACGTTTTCAATACTTTCTGACAAGACTTTTAAAAAAATAGAATTGACCTAAAATAGGGGCAGAGGGTGAAGGTGGAGCAGGAAGGCAGTTCTAACAACAGAAAACAAAGGAAACAGCTCAGCTCCTCTAACAACAATTGAGCAATTTTCCCTCAACAAGCTTTCTACCCCAGCTGCTAATTCTGATCCTCCTGGTGCAATCTGCCTCCCTCTCAATTGTGCTGATAAACCTATTTGTATAGCTGCGACGTAAATTGCATCACTGAGATGATCGCTTTTAAAATTACTTCCCCCCCAATTAATATGATTCAGTGATTCAATTCTAAAACCAGATGCATCAGCACAGTTGAAAGAACTGTGAGCCACAGTTGTGAAGTGGAAATAACTTCAGAAACCAGTTTATATCTGAAGCCAGTGCACGACTAACAACCCTCAGAGAGAAGTTACTGTGCTTTGCGGAAGGGAGCAGACAAGACAATTGACAAGAATGTCAATTACCACTTAATCAACTATTTGAAAAAAATTACGAAAGCACTCAAAGCCCTTGAAAAAGAGGATGGTGATGTGGCATATTAAAATCCATCTTCTCCACAAAAGAGGAGGCGGCTATTTCTGGAAAATAAGCCAAGAATGGGATGCTTAAGGAAGAAAGAAAACTGCACAAAAGACTCCAAACAAGCAAAAAAGCTCTCTGTTGGAGAAAAATACTGGAAGAACTTGTGACCCAACAAGGTTTGAAAGCATCCCTATCTTTAAAATTCCAGCTGATACTGATTTTGAGCTCAGACTACGGAAAGCTCATCTGTAAACATCTGGAACTAAAACCTGAAAATGATTCCATGTGTGGGGAAAGAAGAAATAACATTTTTATACTGAAAAACAAGAAAGGGAACGATACCAAAGACATGATTATTCTGTCTGATATATATGTCAGGTAATCCTGAAAACAGCTTAAGCCATAGGGTGATCATTTACCAAGGCCATAGCACACTTTTATTCTCTGACCTAAGCTACAGCACCAGCATAATGGAAAGAACGTGTAACACTTTAGTAAGCAGATGAAGGAGAAGCAGAAACAGCTGTTCTATTCCCAAATATAGAAATATATTTATATTTATTTTATATACACACACAAAATATATATATAGTCTTGATTTTCCTACAAATGAGAAATATATAAGCTGAATTCAGGTTCTCTTTGAAGAGTTTTCCAAAATCAGCACATCTGGCACCTGTGAGGTCAGAAGATCACAAATATGCCTCCTTTTATATTATTCTCATGGCATTTTAGCTCTTTTTATTCTTACATGATAATAGCATAGAAGCTCTGGCTGAGATCCACTCTTCACTGTGCTAGTCTCTGTATAAACACTTAGGCTTTGTCTAGACGCAAATCTAAAGGTGTGATGCACCTGCAACATGTTAGTGAACACTCCTCATATATTTGAGAAAACTAAACCAAAATTTGCACTGTTAGAACTGTTTAAATATAACTAAAAGACATTTACTTCCAGATCTAGCTAGAATAATGGAGATGACAGTCCCCCGGGTTGGGGGTGATCACCAGTTGGAGGTTATCAAGCCCTAGAACTCACCACATAGAACGAAACTTTTGAGAACTCCCTAATCTGCGTCTGTGCAAAGTTTTCACAATTAACCTCAAAGTGCCATCAACAGTGAATTTAAATTACAATGTTTGACACTGACATGGACGCGATGAAGGGTACCGCACATTCTCTTCTTCCAGCTCAGCTTTGGGACATCGACCTCTGTTGGGGAAGAAGAGGAGCAGAAGCAAGCAGATGAGAACTGCTCACTTCTTAGACTGCTATATCCCTCCTGCAATGATCATCTAAAAATGGTCGTGGCTTAAATCAAAGAAAACATATTGAATGGCTCAGCTGATGGGTGGAAAACACTGTCACCAAAACTTGGTTGTACATCTAAACTCTGGACATGGATGAAATTATACCTAGCTAGGAAACACCTTGATGACATGTCTACTACTCACTGACAAACTCTGCATCATTTCCTTTCTGTGCCTAGCCCAGCCCTGTGGTTCTTCTCCAACACTATTCCAGAGCTGCCTGTGTATTTTGCGCAACAGAGCTGTTGGACAACATAAACAGTAATGAGAACAAAAACTAGAACTTAAGATGTCCTCCCCTACAAGTGAGTACAGTCTGCAGAAGAGTCAGAAACTTCGTCATCTTGGTCTCAAAGTCTTGCATACCTCGCTAAAAAGCGGCTCCATTTCAACAGCAAGAGTAGACACGATATTCAAAGGGGAGGAGGCCAGGAAAAACAGAGAAGTTAAAATGGAGATATTCGCAACCCTTATTTCAACCCATGCACCAAGTTTCCTCAGCTTAGCTTTACAGCCTGTGCAAAGAAAGGCTTTTTAACTGCTCAAGGTGATTTAGAACAGCTAAAACTACAGCTTCTGCTCTAAGCAGCCTTGCAAGAAGAGGGAAACGAGAGAAAGTTCCCTGATAATTGGAAAGACCCTCAGGAAGACTGGTCCCACCAAGCTGCAAGTTAGCCTCTGTACCTCCCATGTCCACAGCAGGTAGAAAGTACAACTAAGTAACAAATGAGATATGCAAATTTCTTCTCTCTGTCTCAGAAAGGACTCAACTG